AGCAAAAACAAAACTGAAGATATCATCATCGAGAAACCCCTGGTGAGACTTGTCGATCTGATGCTGTTTTCGCTACCATATGACTTACAAGTACTGGCGCTTTCACAGCAGTCCATGAGGTCAGTACTCCAGTCGGTGAGAGCTGGTTGGGAGGCCATCTTTGTTTGAAGAACTTGAGCACCAACACTTAAGCCTTACAGCAAAAAACAAAACAAAACAAAAAAAACCCTATCATAATAATAATAATAACAATAATGTTTTTTGTTATTGTAAAGTGTCCTTGGGTGTCTTGAAAGGCGCTTATAAATAAAATGTATTATTCTTCTTCTTATTATTATTATGATAATTCAGAGCTTCACAGATGAAAAGGACAACAATATGCGTAAAGGGTCATTGAGTGGATTCAATTGAGTGAATTTGGGCGATTAGGTGGCATCCAGTTCAGGGTGTCCCCTGGCTTCTGCCCGAAGACAGCCGGGATAGGCTCCAACACGCCCGCGACCCTTCGTGAGGATAAGCCGATCAGATGATGAATAAGAAAGATAAGAAAACCATTATTTGTCCCACAATGGGGAAATTTGCAACCTACAGCAGCAAAATTGAAGGGAGGTGCGGGGGGGTAGAAAAGAAAAACAAAGTATTGCACGCACAAAATAATGTTTCAGAAAAACAACTGTACACAGTACAGAATGCAAGATAAAATATAGATATAAGCATAGATGCAACTGCATATATGCTGCATAAGGTGGCCGTGCTAGTCCAGGTTTTCACGTGTGTTTATTCAGCAGCCTGACAGCAGTCGGTAGGAACGAGCGGCGGTATCTCTCCTTGCAGCGCGGGTCTAACAGTCTCTGGCTGAAGGAGCTGCCCAGTGCTGTCTGGGTGGGCTGGAGGAGATGGATGGATTTATGTTTCTGTGTCCACTGAAAAAGGCAGCTCTTATCTTAAAGCAAATTGTGTTCTGCAATTTGTGTGAATTTAAACGTTACATTGAATGTCAGTGTTTATTCTCCATTGAAAATGTAAAATATTTCATTCAACCTGATGTGTAATACAGTACACTTTATAGAATGCAGGCTACTCACAAATAAAAGCAACGTGAGCCGTATTACATTCTGGTTTTAGGGTCATTTCCAAACAGGGCAATGACTCAACTCGACTGTATTTGTAGAGCGCTTTAAAAATAACCTCAGCTGCATCCAAAGTGCTGTACATAAAGTCACCACCAGACATATAAAAACAGACAGTTGAAACAGTAAATGAACAACATTAAAACAAAGCGCCGAGTCTCATGCTGAGTCGAAAGCCAAAGAATAAAAACACCGACCTATCGCTGGCATGAACTGTGCCGAATTTCTGACGATGGCTGCAACTCAATGTCAAAATTGGAGCTTGAAAAACATGAGCAAATCATCTCTCATGTTTTCAGTTATTCTTGCTGTTTTTTTTAAACACACGTGTAATTGCGCCATCGTTACCTGACGAAGATTAATGTTGTCTTGGTGCAGGTGCAGTGAGTGAAGTGGTCCAAGTAGCGTCACCTTGAGTACTGTAGGACTGCTTTGGTGAAAAATGCTGCCAAACTTGAATGCTTACAGGGAAATGAAAGTAAAAATGAAGGTGTATCAACTTTTTTTCACCCAAGATCTACTTTTCAAGTCGCCAACCTCCTGTGTTCGACCAGTTCAGTGTCATCATCGCAAAACCACACTCCTTTTCCAGCCTGCAGTAACTAACCGCAACACATTTTTTTCTTGTCGTACGACTCACACGTAGAAACACGCGCGTAACATGATGAGCAACAGCCAGACCCTAACATGAATGAAATAAAAAAAATGAACCTGATACAAGACCGGTACTGTCGATCTCTGAGTTTGAAAAATAGGAAATCACCGCCTTGCTTCGTGTGAGACCTGAAACTGAGGCAGAGGCAGGGATGCACTTGTGCAGTGGTGTAGCAACGTACTGGCTATAGCTACCCATTCTATAACTTTCTGGCCACCCCACAATTTGAGGAAAATATGGATACCTGTGACTTTCCTGATATTTCCACATGGATCCTTGGATGCCTTCATACTCTGCCACAATTCATTTATATTCACTCAATATTCCAAAAAATATCTCAGGAAATTGATATGAATGCAAAGTGTCAAAGAATCTGTTTTTGGAGAAGAACATTTGATTCTGACTCTTATTGTCAGTGGCGTCACAGAAAGCCAACAAGATGGCTGATAAGTTATTGTTTATCATACCATCCTCGGGCTGGGCGATTATGGAAAAAAGAATCAAGATTTTGATGAGTCAACGAGACACAGTCGCCTGCCATCAAGACAAAAATACAATGTATACAGTCCTCATATTTTTTCTTTTACATTAACATTGAAGCGGGTGGAACCGTAATTACAATTTCATGAAGTAGTGTGATTGTGATTTCGCCATTCATTCAGAATGGAGGAAAAACTGTCATTGGCCGCCTCTCCGAGTCAATGGCTTGTCGTCTTCGCTCTGTGGTGTCCAAAGCCGGTCGGCGTCTGCCCAAAGCTCCCTTGCCCAATGCAGGAACCGCCACCCTCAGGCTGGGGAACGCTCAGCACTGGAGGCTGGGGACGCATTGTGTGAAAGGACCCACTTCTCTTCAACAGCAAAATGAGTGTTGACTGGTGGCTGCTCAGAGAAAGTAGATGTGTGTTTATTCGTCAGGCATGGTACAGGGGTGGCTTCCCACTTTGGAGGTGGAGCTGTTGCTTAAAGAGCAGTCACTGTCAACTACTGTAGAATGGCCGTCCACACGGAGAATTTTATTTTATTTTTTTGATCAAATGACAATGCTTGACCTACAAATAAGCGCTACCGTCTGATGAGCAAGGTGCTGTTGGCATCATTGCCCCCTGGAACTGGAAGTACATTACAAAGTTGGTTGGAAGCAGACATACTGTAACCTTCTTGAATCTGTTAAAAAGTCCAGGGTTTTGTCTTGTTTTTGTTTCTGAAATCCAGCGCATGATATGTTTTTTCAATTATCTCTATTTACTATATTTATTTCTTATTAGAATTATTTTTAATGTGTGGCTGACCATTCTTGGATACGGCTGAAAAAAAATAGACTGTTAATAGTGCAGTTTCACTGAGGACCAGCAAAGAGCTCCATGTTGGCCTTGACTGGCCATTTTTGAGACCATTCAAGAACTGAACCTAAGGATCTTAATGCTGCAAACCATGCACCACTATGCAGACACGGTTCGATACTCTGCAAACAATACCTTGATTTCCTGCAAGATTGCATCCATCCATTTTTTTGTGCTGCTAATCAGAGTGCAGTTGAGAGAGAGCGAGAGCGCTACCTCAAACGGTTTTGTCAGTTGAATTTTGAATTGTGCAATCCTGCTAATTGTGTGTTCCGTCGTGAACTGTTAGTTGGCACAATAAGAAGACTCCTCTGGGTAGGGGGGTGGGCATTATTTTACAAGTTGGACTTGTGCATGTCTAACCACATCCGAATAGCAACAGTACAGTCAAATTAATATAGACGCGTTTGCAGTGACATCATGAACATAAGGATGCAAGATCACATATGTAATGCAATTGGCTCAAATGTTCGTGAAATGGAAAGCATTTACCGGTCAGCGAAACTGTGCTAAAACGAATTAAATGAAAGTTCAGATGTGGTTTTGGCGCCCAAAGGATATCACTTGTCCTCCTATCAACTCGTGATCGTCCACACCTTAATATGCAAACACAGCAAGCATACTTACTTCTGTTCTTCATAAGCCAAGCGCATAGTCAGCCACCCACGTTGGGCACATTGCAAGTGATTCCACCCCATGACAACTACTGTACTTAAGCTCGCACACGCACGAGTGTTTTTGAGTAATGACCAGCATACCCACGACCCCATCGAGGATAAGGGGTTCAGAAAATGAATGGATGGATAGGTTAAACAGATAAATGTGGGTATATCCACATCTGTTTGTGTGAATAAAAAAAATCTGAATTTAAGACCATTTATTATGTCTTAACTTGCCTTTATTTTATATTGAAAAATGTTTTTTTTTTTCAACTGACATTGTTGTTGCATAACATATACTCTTACCTATTTGATGCTTCTGGACTACCTGTGTATTAAAAAAAATAATCAAAAGTTACTAGTTACTGAAGTAAGTACAGGTGAGTAATCATTGTCACGCACTTGTTCTTACTAACGTAATAATTTGGAGTTGTGGTATTTCTTGACAATTACTCCAACGTCAGTTCTGAAGAGTCACTGACTCAATCGAACATGGCAAAAAACGTTATTGTCAAGCTGCCGGAGTTTTGGGAGATGTCCGCGGCTGAGCCGGGTTTACACAGTTAGAGGCTCAATTAACCCTCCACGGGATGACAGATGACAACACTTGCTACTATTATGCTGTTTCACCACTAGAGAGTGCCACTGCTGCGAGTGTGATGAGCGATATTTTTGAGGTGAAAGAAACAGTTTTATCCATGTGGTTGATGTGGCTTTCAAATGGGAGCAACTGTTCAAAGTCAAGGTTACGGATATGGGTAGAAGCGGGAATGCTAGAGACGTCAATAGAGAGTGAGAAATCAGGCTAGGATGTGTGAAGTGATTTCGGGCCAATGATGAAAATTATTGTTGCTATAGAGTTTTGAGGAAGTTGGCCTGCATCCACTTTTTATGTCAAAAAGGCAGTTGATGGTGGTAGAATGACTGGCAGCAGTGATGGATGAATAGTGTTAATTTCTGTGAGAACCAAAAGGTTGAAAAGTGCTATACTGATTTACCATATACTCCTGGACTATACTCTCTGAGAGCCACTCATTTACACAACAAATTTCAGTTCAAAAAAACATTTGAAAAAAAAATGTTGGGCACTCTAGCGAGGAAAATGAAGTCGACACATTTTTTGCCTTTGTGAGCCACATAAAATGATGTGGCCGGGCAGATCTGGCTCCCTGGCCTTGAGTTTGACATCTACATTGTAAAGTAATGCTAACTACAGTACTCTTCTCGTTGAGCAATTTGTGGCTTCTTTACACATCTGTGGTCGTTCATCTGTCAAGTGAAGGGCTGCATCTTTCTGTGAAGATCAAATAAGGTTTCATAATTAAACACGCAAGATTGTGTGGTTTGGATATGTCATCGAAATTACTTCACAAAGACAACATTCAAACTAGTATTTGTCTTTTCTCCCTCGGCTTTATCAGGATGCACGAAGCAAGATCAGATTTAACTGTTGTTTTATGTCCACTAGGGAGCAGTCCACATTCAAGTAATATAGGACATTACAGTCCTACTCATAGGATGAAACTAGATCATATTTAAATTTTGTTTTATGTCAATGTTTTTATTTTTCAGATATGTTATTACATTGCCTTCGGTTGTTTTTTTCCCCGTGTATCGGCTGTAACGTAAAATGTGTTTCTGTATTTTGTATATAGTTTTTTTTCCAAATGTGTAAGAACTCCTGAGCATCCGGGGAAACATGCGAAACTCCAGAGCCGGCAATATAGCCCCAAATTGTTGAACCCTGAGGCAGACAACACAAAATATTATGTAAATATAACTTCACCCATAACACACACTGTGATCCAAAGTATTGAAAATATGAGCAAGGCAGATTGATAGTGCAATACATTACATAGCATTCGATATTATACAGAAATTCTAATTAATCAAAAGAAAATTACATCCACATTACAAAGGAGGTTTAATTTTTTTTTTTTTAATTGTGGTTTTGGAGTCAATCTTTTGACTTGCAATATGCATGTCAGTTGAATACGCATGAAGTCCACCAACAAAATTGTAAAAGCAAATAAAAATTTAAAAAAAATAAAAAAATACATCAATGAGCTGGAAGATCCAAAAATTAGAAAATTCTTCCACATACCTAAACCTTGCAAAACTCACCATGTGCAGAGAGACTGTGAGGTGTTCATCACATTTGTTGTTTTTTAATCAGAGATTCCTGTCAAAGAGAGACGACCCTGCTATTGATTATTTTGATACCACGATAAATGGTATCAAATTCGGTATCAAGTGATGCCCAAATATTACAACAAGTGGTTAATCTTGATCATTCTCAAAAACCTTGAGAAGCGTACTCTCTTAGCATACTCTTTCTTTAGTACAGTACTCAGCAGTTTTGGGGAGTTTTTGTTGACAGATTTCAGAGCCCAGACACCAATTAGAGAATACCTGATTCACAACCGTTGATATAAAACCAAAACCCCAGAGTTGTCAAAGTCTCTTTGAAGACCGCATGTTGCTCTGAATGAAATGCCATCATTTCTCACCTTTTTTATGTACCCACAATGCTCATCTATGTATCTGTCAGCTGCAACTTAGTCACATTAGCCATGAAAAAAAAGCAGGTGACATCTTGTTTGCATTTGGTCGTGTTCAAGAACCGATTAGAGGGGCGCAGGCTGCATATTGATGACGGTGGGGTTTTTCTTGCGGAACTTCAGTTCACGGTGCATTTGACACCAAGTGCACCACATGCAGAAACACGAAGACAGGATGTCGTTGCACATTGAGCCCTGTGGACAACAAGTGCTATCATAAGAAGCCGTTTATATGGATTTTCAAAGTAATTGCAAGTTTTTGCATTATTACCTAATTATATCAAACATTAGGCAGGTCGTTTTTTTTTCAACATCATTATGCCGATTTATGTTCAAGGAGACATGAGAGAAAGTACTTTTTATTGTTTGCATAGAAATTGGTGGATCTTTGGAACCCCTGCTGAACCATCAAGTGTGAAATGAAACAACCAAATAAATCTTTAGTTAGCTGCCTACATCTGAAAATGTGCCTGAGTGAGCTGTTCTATACTTTGGCTCCACGTAACAATGAGGCTCATGAGAAAGCCCCTCCCTCTGACTTTGGTTGAAGGACAGATTCGTGTTATAACAGTGTTAGCTTGCGATAGTCGCCACTCTGTGAAGGAGCACCACATTCGCAGTTAAAATGCTTTCAGTGTCTTTGAGCAAAGGTTACTCGCATGTTTTCCACAGCCTTGGTTCTGCTTCTGTTTGAAGAAGACGGCAGCTGGCTGCCATGAACGCTCACCGTCAAGCCACATGGAAGAGCAGAAAGAAAACAACGGCCAAATCCAGCCTATTTGTTGTCATTCGTACCAAAATCGGACTTGCCATTGGCCCAGCTGGGACGAGGGCTGGTAAATTCATCACGTTTAATTGTCAACAGAATATGTCTCCTTTCACATTTCGGTGGATGTAACAATCAAACATCATGCATATTAAGTGAGCGCTGGCGCGACTGGCTGCCGCTGCTCACCCGCTATTATTCTTTTTTAGCGTTTGTTTTACAGTTTTTTACGGTTTACTCTCGTCATGGGAGAAACCCTCATCTCCTGTCGATTTTATCTGTGGTTTTATTGTTCTTGTTTTGATTGTAAAGTGTCCTTGAGTGTTTTGAAAGGCGATTATAAATGTAATGTATTATTATTATTATTATTATTACCTTGACACCACCTCTGTTGCGGATGCCCACTCGTAGAGACAAAGCTGCAGGGGGTGCAAACAGGGGGATCCCGAAAGCTGTCAAGACAGCAGGGCTGAGCATGTCACACAATGGGAGACATCGGTTCTCTCCAAATTTTCCTGCAACTGAACAGGCCAGACAGGGGCAGCAAAAGAAACCGTAGCAGCCTGAAAGACATAAAAAAAATATTTTTTAAAATTGGGTTTTGATGAAAGCTATCATCATAGTAGTCGCCATGATATGATGAAACCCTCATCTGGCTTGTGTTTACAAAACACACGATGTACAGTCAGTAATCTAAAAGTAGAAAAATAAAATACTTTGTTAAGCGTGTGGTGACTAAAGGAGTAGATCATTATTGAGAAGTCACACCCACAAACAGAAGACAACTCTGTCCTGCAAGCGGTAGTAAACTCTCGGGGCAATATAAAATTGTGTCATTATAACATGGATTCAAACTCAATAACACAAATTATTATGCAGTGAAACATCAACTCGCGATCGCATTGTAAATTGACTTTGTGGTTAAAGTAAGAAATAGTCCTTACAAGAGCTTTTGTCTTGACAGCAATCCAGGAGGCCACTGTCCCATTCTGTCAAAGTCTGTTTCGGAGACATGCTGAAGAATCAAATTAGACAAGGCAACAAGTAAATAAACACTTCAAAAGTTGCACACTCGGTCATGATTCAAATTGATGAGATTCAATCGTTCATGTATAAATCGTATTTCCAAATCCATAGTCTTTCTCCTGATCTTTTAGTGTATACTGACTTCAATCATGACAAATTAAGCATAAGACCGTAGAAATAAGACCCTGCTACTTGGCTGCGTAACTGTTGGTAGAACCGACATATTTTTAAGACAGGAGACTTGCCATGATTTGCTACTTCGGCCAAATGTTACTTTTCTCTCTGCAGTATTCCACCACTGCACGTTCAGCACTGACACTTAACGTGTACCGCGTTGACATGAATTTCAAGCTTTTCTTTAATTCTCTGCCGTCGCAGAGAAAATTCCATTTTAAAACTCCCGAAGGCTGTCAAGGGTGTGACCTGTGGCCTTCAAGCTTCAGACCGTGTGAAGGAATGTCATGGCAAAGGGACTAGAATGTACCAACAAAGTCATGCAATTGATTTAGATTCTTTTCCTCGTTTTTGTTTTTTTAATATATAGATGTTCAGATTCAGATTCAGGAAACTTTATTTATCCCCAGTGACAGCAAATCACCCCTGTAAAGCAGCCGCTATGCACTTCCAAACTGTTGGTGGTTAAAAATATTTTTGTGCCTTCGTCTTGTGGATTTCCAATTAAAATCTGGGGTTGCATCACATGAATCACAATGGCTAACAATCAGAAACACAAATATTTCTTACCTGCTTGATCTCGCGTCTTATCACAGGGGAATGCTCGAAAAGACTACGACACTCTGAGGTTCTTGTCCAATAAACACTCGGCTGAGCAATGCAGCAGAACCTGAATACATGGCAGCAATGTACATTTCGACAAGTCGCCATTGTCTTGTCATGCGGGTGTGTCCAACGAGTAAGACGCACAAGATAGTCAGTCCTGAAAAACTTGTAAGCTTCCATACACCCGTAAAGTTGACCTATTTCATTATTATTCCTTATTTTGATACATTTGACAGATTAGACTGTGTCCTCTGTATGAGCAGATTATATATTTTTTGTATGGAAAAAATATATACAATGCAGGTACTGGAATCAACTTGTAATGTGTGAAATGCTGAGCAGCATTGTGTTTGCATTGCAAGCACTGAGCGGGGTAGCACACCAGTGCAATAATTGGCTTTTCTGTAACAAATTGGAGTGGTGGAAAATGACCACCCAATAGTTGGGGCAGAGAATTTAGACCTGTCCCAAGACTTATATTCACCCATCCATCCATTTTATTTTATTATTTTTTACACAACTGATCCAATTCAGGGTGCCAGCAGGGCTTGGAGCCTGTCCCAGCTGACTTGGAACCTGTCCATCTAGACAACTGCAAAGAGTGCTTTGAATGGAACTTTCTCCCAGGCCAGTTGCACTTAAATCAGCTCGATGGACCCTGGCTTCATTGATGAAAACTCGTGAAAACCTTCAGAAAAAGAAGTACTCCACAAACGATTAGTCTAAGATCTGTAGACTCAAATGTCAGAATAAAATTTTTGATATGGTCTGAAAAGTCCCCAGAGAAGTGTTTTTATTTTTCCCTCAGCTCTGCTGGATGCAGCCTGACTTAAATCCATTGTGAGTGAAGTAGAATTTCCTTAGCCAACAATCTGCTTTGAAAATGCCACCGAATTTGATATTAGGTAAACAACATGCACCGACCGTCGAAGACGGTGATTTAAATCCAGATGCAGCAAATGCATGACTGAAATAAAATACTATTACTGTAGTCATGAGTGAATTCACAGTATGAATACGTGATGTACATTGAAGCAGGACCTCAATACAGTACAGCCTTGCTTAAGATGTCATCTGAAATGCAGTTGTGCAGTTCCTTTGTCATTGGTCAAATCACATTTGTGAACATCATAGAAAGGGGAATGATTTTGTCAATGTTCTCTTTTTAGCCGTTTGTTCAGGGGCCACCGTCTGCAGTAGCCTTCGGACCAGCTGCAGTCGTCCTGTCCTGATGAGAGCTCGAGACAACTCCGTGACCTCTGCCGTGTTTGTCCTATAAAGGCACCTCAGCTCAGCCTTCACCACATCCTCGGGGTACTTCTCCTCAGCCCTCTGCAGGCACTGCTCCATCTGGGTGATAACTTGGTTGAGCTCAGGACCTCCTTGCATGAACACAGCTAGTAAGGCCTGGAGGAGGCAGCGCAGGGCCGTGGTGTCACTACTTGTCGGTCTCTCTAAGTCGAGAGCGCAGTTGAAGCAGTCCGCGGCATTTCGTTCCTCGCCCTTTAGCAGGAGGCAGCGTCCTTTCAGCAAGTGAAGGTCAGGCAAGCTGTCTCCCAGTTCGTACACTCGGGCCTGGGATAGACTCACCAAGGCGTTGTTTATTGCTTCCTCATCCACCAAAAGGCTCTCCTGCAGTGCATCTACACCCATGTAGTAGTACACCTAACGGAGGACATTTTTCAATATTTAAGACAAAAATAAATTGCCATGAAAGTTGACTTTATGGCTTACCTGTGCCATCTCCAGGTGAGTCCTCAAACAAGGACACACAGCCAAGACTTTGTCCAAGTTTTTCTGGGCCTCGGTTAACATTTGTCTGTCTGGGACACCGCCTTCCCCACATTTGGCCTTTTCTAGGTCCCTGACGTAGAGCATTGTGTTGATCTAAACGAATCACAATTACGTCATATCATTTAATGCACTGTTCTGTACCCAAGCCATTGTAGAACACAAACACATCAGCGTTAGGGGCAAGTGAGGCCCGTGCAACTCAACGGATGGTGCTTTCATGAAATACCGTATTGGCCCGAATATAAGACGGCCCTGATTATAAGACGACCCCCTCTTTTTCAAGACTCAAGTTTGAAAAAAGACTTTGAACACCAAATTAATTTTTATACAGAAAATAATTACAGTACATCTGAAACAAATGATTATAACAATATATTTGAGAGAAAAAGTATGTTATTTTGCCTCATCTGTTCTGTCGTTGCCTCATTCAAATGTTAATATCTGAACATTTAAATATGTAAACTAAAGTGCAATCACATTCGTAAATGAATGGCTTCTGGTTTTTGAAATGTAAATTACATCATAACTTCTCCTCAGCTGCCAGTTAACCTGGCCGATCTTTGACCCACTTTTCTCCAGATTGTCACTACGTTTCTCCATTTTCTGTTATCTCTTCTATTATTTTCTTCGCTTTTCTTTCTTACCGCTATTTGTTATTTTTCTTCTTCGTGCTACCGCTATTTTTATTTTTATTCTTCGTGACAGGGGTTTACTTTGGCCTGGGTAGTCAAGTACAGCATTCGCTTCAATGATATCTGGCGCCATCTAGCGTCGTGAATGGGTATAATGTCTAGACCCCGAATATAAGACGACACCCACTTTTTCAGTCTTATTTCAATGCAAAAAACACCGTCTTATATTCGGGCCAATACGGTAAGTATTTTTCTCCTTCCTTCTGTGTAGATCCAAGTGGCGGTAATTTTGCAAAGGTCAAAGTGTGGCAACGCTTCTTTGTCGAAGACAGTTAAACTTCCATCCAAAATTGTTCTTCTGGCCTAAATTTGATGTGTGGGGTCTTCCTAGTTATGTCTCAGGTGGGTGTGTCTCGTGAGGGTGGTCACAAGATTGTTGTTAGCAGACATCACTGGTGAATTTAATGAAGTCATCCATCAGTGCAACGTCTTCAACAAAATGAACGAGTCACGTTGGCTCAAGTCGGTCTTTGCAGAGATCCAAAATACTTTTTGGATTTCCAATCTCATACTGCTTGTCTTCTCGCAGAACTATGTTGCTGTGGCTTTTGCTGTTCTATTGACCCTTTCCTATCTTTGACAGCGAGGCTCCACATTACCACGGATACAGCCGAGTGAGCGTGTCTGACATCCGCCACTTTTCATATTGAAGATGGTGTTTGTGTTCTATCAAGCAGCAAGGGCGCAACTCGACAAAAATTTCATTGCAGATGTAAAGTATGAGGAGTAATCATTAATTCTTGTTTTTTGGTGTATAGCCTCACCATTTTTTCATGGATAAATATCAACTGCTCTTTCAATATATGCTGTAAAACACAGGTGTCAAACTCAAGGCCCGGGGGCCAGATGTGGCCCGCCACATCATTTTAAGTGGCTGGCAAAAGCAAATCAAAGCTGACAACATCAATGATGCTTGCTAAAATCTGTCCCAAAATTTCAAATTTTCATATGTAATAAATCTGTGACATATTGTAAGCATTGTTACCAAACCCCTCATGACAGTTACTTCAACAATAGTTGAATAAAATGTTATTCTTGACTTCTTTATATAGTTTCAGTCATCACTTCCCTCCAAGGTAAACGGTAATTATAATGTGGCTCACAACAAATGAGTTTGACACCCCTGCTGCAAAACATATTTCATTTCCTATTAATCAATAATTCAGCATGCGTCATCTTATCTCGTCGGAAATGAGAAAATATTTGGTGTAGTGTGGTACCGGCGTTGTCTGATACCTTGGCAAGGGTGCAGTAAGCCTGCCAATTGAGCTCAGGATCCGGCAGCACATTGAGAGCCATGTTGCAGATCCCCGTGGCCATCTCATGCTTACCCAACAGAAAGAACAGCTTGGCCAGGAGGTTAAGGATGAACGCATCATCATTTGCCAACTTTATAGCCTGAAAGCAGATTTTATTCTGTGATTTTTTTTTTTTAAGTTGTACTCTTTAGACTTTTAAGATGATTGTGTTTTGTTTTGTTTTTTTAGCCTGAGTGGAGCAGAACTTACATTTCCATAGCAGGATAAAGGATCGGTGGCAGAATAGCCGCAGTCGTGTATGGACATGGGCACTGTGGGGAACTCATCCTGTCTCTCCAACATGATGCCAACATAACACCAGGAAAGAGCTAGAAACAAGAAATCCGGATTCTTAAACAAGCCCTGTTATCTACCGCTAGAAATCAACATTGGGTACATTCAGTCGTTCTCATGATGTGCTTTGAGAAGTTGCGTTCACCTTTTTGTTGTGTTTTCTCCGATTCAAGTGTTTCTGTGAGAAGCCGTAGCCCCTTATTATAATGAGCGAGTCTGGAGTATTCAGCGTCCTCTTTGGTCTTGACTATGTCATCCAGTCTGCAGGGAGAAGAGAAGAACAAATTGGGTTATTCTACTACCACAATATTTTTTCGTTAGTTAGTTAGTTAGTTAGTTAGTTAGTTAGTTAGTTAGTTAGTTAGTTAGTTAGTTGGGTTGGTTAATTTTGATACCTTATATAAATGGTTGCCATCTTAAAGTACCAACTTCTCTTTTCTTCCACTGGTATCTGAAAAGCAGTGTTACAATTAATCCTGGCATCCCCCCAACATTTACAATCAAAAACAATTGTCACTTTTATTGTCTGCATTAAAATCCGGAAGGTTGTATTAGCCGAAAATATTGAGTTGCAGTTTGAGAGATTAATGACATATGAATTATCAAAATGATTTCTTTTATATTCTACTACAGCCTTCCTATTGCAATTATTTTGCAGGAGTTCTCACTTGTTGTCACCTGCATCTTGTCTGCTAGCAAAAGGCATTTCCTATCACTTGCCTCACATATTCAACGTGGGAACTTGAAACTGTACAGTAAGTGAAAAACCTGAATCCAAATACGTGCATTATTTATTTATTTTATTTTTTACTAGCTGTGTGCACCCAACCAAATTCAGTTGCGATCTGCCATTTAAGAATCACTTTGGAGCATTGACTGTGATGAGTGAATGGAACTTCAATTTAGAGTAAGTCTGGCCAGGGTATGGCTATCACTTTGAACTCAATTTTAGTTATGTTTTAGGCAAATTTAGGCTTTAAAAATGAACTTGGCAAGACACTGGAAAAAATTCAATCCAGTATCAAAACTTCTTAAAAGCCCACTATTTGTTTTACAGATAAACGGTCAGAATAAAGCAAGATTTTTTTTGTTGTTGTTTTCAATGAAACTGGAATACTACATCCAGGAAAACGGTACCGGAATGCATTGGCATCTGTTAGTGCCTGCAAAATGTTCCTTCTTTCACATTACATTCTCAGATCCCTGTTTCCACCTCACCAGGTGACCGCCGTAGTCTAAAGCTCTGTTGAAGTGCACCAAGGCTGTCGTCAGTTTCTCCCTCAAATCATCCTCTCTCTCCAGCTCCACATCGTAAGGGTAAACATAGGCCTGTTCTGCCAGGCAGCGGGCCGCCATTTGCTTGGTGTCTTCCTGGGTGGGCTCTTCAGCGTCTAAGCCCATCAGCTGGGATACTTTCTCCACACATTCTCCGGCATCCAGCTCCCTTCCCAGCTTGTCGTACACATAGCCAAGGTTGGCCCAAGCGTTGAGGTTCCCTGGGTCTTCTTTGCAAATGCCTCTGAAAAAAACGAGATATACAGTATACAGGTAGGGTTGAAGAAGAGCAGCAAATTAAATAGTTAGAAATGATCAAATTTGATTTTTTTGTATTGTTTTGTTTTCCAAGATGGCGCCGGAGTAGGCAGCCGTTGTCGGCATGTGCTCTTCAAGAGCTTTGCGTCTTTTGTTGTTTTTGTCTTTTGTTTTGTCACATGGTGTTGTTGTTGCGTCGGATAGGGATTGTTTTTCAGCATTTTTGGCCACGACATTCGTCAAAGAAGAAGAATCTGTGCTTGGTGGTTGCGCCTTCTCGGCAGCACGCATGTACCGGCACTGATTTTGATTGAGAGGAATACCGGCGCCATTTGACTGTCGTTGCTGGACAGCCCAGGCGCAGCATTTTCACAGCCCCGCTTTGTTCAGCGGAAAGGTCGGTGCTATTGGACAGTCTGCGGCTGGATGGATGCATGGCTTGAGGAGCCGACGATGAGAAGAAAGGAGCGCCAGCGCAAAGTGCCGATGGCGTATGTGGAACTGGGAGTCGCAGCTTGGAATTGAAGCGGATTTACATTGGACAGCGGATGTGAGCCAATCTCGTTTTCGTTAATGGACGCTACAGCTTCTTGTTGCTTTCAAACTTAGCTTGTAGCAGACGTGTGCACATTTTCAGCATGACGTCTTTGATCCACGGGTGAAAAGGACACTTTGATTCGCCCCTCTTTCATCTATCACTGCTTCAAACAACAAAGTGTATGCAGGAAAAGTGGTTAAGATTGCACGACTGTCTGTGTCTTGTTCTCTGTTGTATTATTTTGTCAATTTATGTTCTTGTGATGGTGGCGCGGGCACCTGTAGCGGCTCCTCTTGTTGTCTTGTTGTCTGGTTGAGAGGGAAGACATTTCATCTGTGTTCTATGTTACACATTTACTTGTACTTGACTTGACTTGAACTTGAAATGCCTTTAAAACGCTGCCAGCCAAATTATGTGAGTCACACACAGTGACAACCCCTGCTGGGTGGAACCAGCCAAAAGTCAAAACGACAACAATCTTTTGTCACTAATTGGCTGGGGGGAAACCTACAGTTGTGCCTCCCAAATGGCTGTGGTGTTTATTTTGTCTATTTCGCTCCTGAAGGTTAAATTAACAAACGTGGTCATTCACAATACGTGCAATTTAAGGAACCACTTTGCCATTTGACACCTTTTACCTTAAGCGACACATTCACTAAACCAGTATCATATTCTACAATTGGTTCAGCAAGATCTCATCTGTCTTGAATAGAAGGATGCTCTGAAGTAAGCCCCAGAAAGTGGACATTATATTGACTAATAATTACTTGGGGTGTGACAAAAAACAGTTTAATTTAAAAAAAAAAAAATATATATATATATATATATATATATATGTAAAATATGCGAGTGCATCAAATGGAACCGAATTGAATCATTCCACTTGGAAATATCTTGAGCTACGCTTCAAATCATTTTTTATTGAAGAGATATATCCGAGATGGAAATGGCACATTCACAGTCCTGACAAGTTCATTCAAATGAATGTAAGATGACAAGAAGAAAGTCATTGTCATCGACAGTCATACCGTCTCCAACTGAGCCGTATAATATCGTAATCCCAGTGAGTCGAACCGAATCAAATCATTCCACTTTCGAATCGAAGCGTCCTTGAATGGTTGTATAGAGATGCACATCCTTAGTAATTACAAATTTGCAATTACAATTGCAACGATTCGTAGTCAGGAGAAAATCGTGTTCCCGGAGCATAATAACAAAATTGTGATTTATATTTCTGTCAGAGGGCAATTTTTTTTTTTGTGTTTTTATTTAAACACAAGTTTCTCCTGTAATATACGCGTGTCAAACTCCTATTTGTCCGTGGCCACGTTGCCGTCACTGCTTGGCGTTATGACCCTCCGTCCTTGTAGATATGCTGTATTTTTGTTGTGGTGCCATACCACCATCTCCCTAACTGTGGATGAGAAAGGTTCAAACGTCTTGACTGTGAGCTTCTGGTGCAAACAATATGCTCAACTGTGCTCCGTCCTCCTGTACTGACAAAACCACAAGCATGGCTCTTGATCTGGTGTCACGTTACAATATTGCTGCTGGCCTTAGCAAAAATGACAATTAATGTATAGAAGGTATAACGAAAGATCCAAACGAAAGACACAAAACGTACTAAAACTAATTCACACTTTTAGCATGATGATCCAATGGCTGTATTTCAAAGGTCTGACTCAATCAGAGGTTATTATTAAAAAAAAACACAAAAAAACCCCACACACCCACATGCATCTTATCACCTGAATATTTCCTCTGCAGTTTGAAGGTGGTCGAGATGGAAAGCCAGCAGCCCGAGAAGATTGCGAACAGCGTACTGTAAATATCCAGCTTCAGCCTCCAGCTCCCCCTTTAGACTCTCCTGTTTCAGGTAAGTGTCTCTGTGTCTCAGTTTCAAAGGTCCTTTGGGATCACAGTTGAGGTTTAGGTCCAGGTGGAAGTGACCAGGAATGTAATCCATGTCCTCCATCAGGGACTCAATGTCCTTTGTTTCATCCTCTTCCATGCCGCCCCACCTACTCCTCCTATCCTTCTACGTAGGCTTTGTTACAAAACAAGGAAGGATACAGTAAGACATGCGATTAAGATACTTCATGCGTTGGCACTGAATCGTGCAAAAATAATCGAGCTAATCCTGCTCAGCCCGCACAACTTTGCTGCTTTGACATGACACACAGTGTGAGCATTCACCTGTTGCAGACAGGTTGAACAGGTTGGACTTGGGAGTGACCAGGGAGTGGAACACGGCCCAAAACGGAAAGTCGTGTTCAGATGCACGTGCTTCCTTTTTATGAAGCATGCGTTTGAGGCTGCTCTTTATGAAAAGGCCCATTAATGAGCACTTTCTAATAAACACTTGCAAAAAAATGCCCACAATGTTTTTTAAAAGGCATTTCGAATTGGAACACTCGTGAAGTTCCACTATTCT